CACGATGGCGGTCATGACCGGCGACGACGGCGAGCGGCAAGGATAATGATGAGGATGGAGAATGGAGGCAACGGAGTAGGAGGACTGACGAGGAGGAGGAAGAGGATCATGATGAGGTGGAAGGGGGGCGGAGGGGGGAGGGGCAGGAGCATCAGGATGCTGAGGATGAGGAGGAGCCGGAGGAAGCGGGAAGTGGACGAGGGGGAGGGGGAGAAGGAATAGCATGACGAGGATGAGGAGATGTTCGGCGGTTGTTGGAGATCTTCGGCGGTTGTTGTACACCCCCGCTGGGGCCAGGTGTTGGCCCTCTTTGGGTTGACACCTCGCCGACTTGGCGCATTCATTGAAAAATGTTGTGCTAGAGCCGTCTGCGTCGCAGTTCTGCGTGGCATCACCGGTCTCTTCTGGGAACCGTGGCGTTTTTGGGTTATTTGGGGCCTTCGCGCCGTCCTTTTCGGGCCCTTGCGAGATCATGGCTGTGAAGGACGCCGATGACGGGAGAAGATTGTGAAAGTGTGGAAGAACCTGTTGTATTGCAGCGCTTGTGTTTAGATGCGAGCGTTGTGGAAGCGTTGGGGCCAGTTTGGGGCTTCCTGGGGGGAGTCTTGGAGACAGCTTGGAGGCCTCTAGAAGGCGACTTGAATGCATTTTTAAAAACTCTTGGGGGCCTTGGGCTGCTGGGGGGTCCATCGGAGTGGTGTCCGCCGGAGACTCCTCTTAGACCTTGACATCCCTTGTGGGGTGGCGGGCGAGCTGGGCATCGCTGGATCCCAGCGCGAGTTATAAACATATGGTCGTGCTGGGTGCGGGAGCGACATGGCGGCGGCATCGCTGCTCATCAGCGAGCTACTTGAGAAAATTGCCCTCTTTTTTATGTCTCATCCCTCGTTGTCAGAGTTAGGGGGCCGAGCGGTCATTCATTGTCCTGGGCTGCGTGGCGTAAATGGGGATCCATGCTGAGGATTCTGCTTGTTGCGTTGTTGTTTGTTGTCGTCGTCCCACCCGCGACCCACCCCGCGACCCACCCCGCGACCCACCCCGCGACCCACCCCGCGACCCACGCGCGACCCACCCCCCGACCCCCCCGCGACCCCCCCGCGAACCACCCGCGACCCAATTGCGACCCACCCGCGACCCACCCGGCGACCCACCCCGCGACCCACCCGCGACCCACCCGCGACCTACCCCCACATTGGTTTAACGAACGAATCGGCGTATGCGGCGGGCTCGTTGCAGAATTTGTAAATCGTTGGCACCTGCGGCGGGTTTCTCCAGGGTCCCGCAAGCTGCCGACGTCCCCACCGCCCAGTCACTATTATCCGCCTTTGCGGGGTGCTACGTAGCCGTTTTCCTCCTTCACCGTCTCCCCGCTGCTGCCGCGTTGACTTGCATGCCCCCCTTCGATCCTTCTCCTGTCCTTCCTTCCCGCCCCATCCCTCTCCGATTTCTCTCCAAGCGTTCGGCCCCACCACTCGTCCTTCCATTGCTGTCCTGTGATTCGTGCTTCGCGCGCGCATCTCATGTATTTTGCACAACAAATAGCGTTCTTGCACTGCCATCACCCCCGAGCAATGTGGGCCACCTAGTCTGGCCACTTGATGCACATGCGTTGGTAACACTGCACGGTCATTCACCAGCCGCAGAATGCTTAGTGCAGAGAGAAGGAGGAACAGGAGCAGCAGGCACAGCAGGAGCAGCAGCGGGAGGCGGAGGAAGGAGGGGACGGAGGGGGAGGGGGGAGAGGAGAGAGAGGAGTAATGATGATGATGATGATGATGATGATGATGATGATGATGATGATGATGCTGCTGCTGCTGCTGATGCTGATGCTGATGCTGTTGCTGTTGCTGTTGCTGTTGGTGTCGATGATGTTGATGGTTATGCTGATGATGATGATGATGCTGATGCTGATGCTGATTATGAGTACAATCATGATGATGACGGCGGTGTTGGTGATGAGGATGTTGACAATGATGATGATGATGTTGCTGATGGTGCCGCTGCTGATGATGTTGATTTTGTTGATGCTGATGTCGATGATGCTGATGATGCTGATGATGATGCTGATGGTGGTGGTGGTGATGGTGGTGGTGATGATGAGCATGCTGACGATGATGACGAGGCTGATTCGGGCTACGATGATGATGAAGATGATGCTGCTGCTGATGATGATGATGATGATGGTGATGATGATGATGGTGATCATGCTGATGCTGATGATGATGATGATGACGATGCGGCTCGCGATGATGATTAGTATGAAGACTATAATGCTGATGATGGGGATACGTATGTTGATGCTGATGCTACTCTTGGTGATGGAGCGACTGATGATGTTGTTGATGATGTTGATGATGGTGATGATGGTGATGATGATGATGATGATGATGATGATGATCATGATCATGATGATGATGGTGATAACGATGCGGCTCGCGATTACGATGGTGATTGTGGCGATGATGATGAGGATGATGCTGCTGCTGCTGATGATGATGCTACTGATCATGATGCTGCTGATGATGATGCTGATGATTATGATGATGGTGATGGTGCTGATGCTGATGCTGATGCTGGTGCTGATGATGCTGAGGAGGAGGAAGAGGAGGCGGACGATGTGGCAGGATAATGATGATGATGATGATGATGATGAGGAGGAGGAGGAGGAGGAGGAGGAGGAGGGCGGAAGGAACAGCAAGGAGGCGGAGGCGGAGGGAGGAGGGAGTATTGAGGAGGGAAGGGGATGAGGGAGGAGGGAGGAGGCAGGAGGAGGAGGGACGAGGACGAATGCAGGAGGACGCAGGGAGGAGGAGGAGGAGGAGGAGGAGGGAGGAGGAGGAGGAGGAGGAGGAGGGCGGCGGGGGGGGGGGGGAGAAGGAGGAGGGAGGAGGAGGAGGAGGAGGAGGAGGAGGAGGAGGAGGAGGAGGAGGAGGAGGAGTGATGACCAGCGTAAGCCGAAGATGTACAGCCGATGCTGCAATACACCATCCCGCCCCGAGTCCCCCCTCATCAGTCCTCACAAGTCTCCCTTTCCACTGCGGTCGCCCCCTCTTGAGTGACGTGCCGCTGGTCGGCCCGCCAGTCAGACGAGGGCGCCTGTCGCACAGGGTCCGTCATCCACTTGCCCTCCATCCGTCTAAGCGTTCCAGGATGTCATCATCGTGGGCATATGCGTGGCGGAGGTACCGCGCGGCAGCCGTCTCTGAAGGCCCAGGGAGAGCCACAGTTTGAGAAGAGCGCGCCCTCTATCCCACTAGGCGTTGCAGACTGCCAAGTCGTGGGCGTATGCGTCGCAGATGTCTCACGCAAGAGCCCCTTTTTCGAAGGATAAGCCGCCCTCCATCAGTGTTAGCTGTTGCAAAATGTGGAACGTCAGGCCGTAGAGGTCGAGGAAGGGCCACGTGAGTGTAGATGGTGGACTTTGTGTTCGAATACGCGCGCGGCCAAAGGGAGATCCCATCATGGTGGGGGCGTTCGTCGGTTCAGAGGGGCCCCCTAAGACGGCTTCCGGCGGCGTCAGACGGGCCAGGACCGCCCTCAGACGGACAGAGGGGCTCCTTGGAAGCCCAGGCGGCCCCCAAGATGCCCAGGGCCCCCGAGAGGCCTACAGGAAGCTCCCAGAATGCCCCAAGAGTCCTCCTCCTCCGCCTCCTCCTCCGTCTCCTCTTCCTCCTCCTCCTCCTCCTCCTCCTCCTCCTCCTCCTCCTCCTCCCCCGTTTTCATCCTCCTCATCCCTCTCTCTATTATTCCTCCCTCTCCTCCGCTTCGTCTTTCTCCCCCGCGTTCCGATAGCCTGGCAGGGCTCTGGCCACAGCGTTCGGCCACATGGGTGGTTCCAAAAGGCAGGGGGCGGCGGTGGTTCGCTGTACCTGTTTTTAGATATGAGAGTACTTGGGCTGGCGACGGACCCACCCCTATGCAGTCACGTGTAGCGCAGGGTGCGCCCCTCTCTTCATAGTTTGTGCGCCACGGGACTGAGCTGATAGAGAATTGCTGCGGAGCAGGGTTGCACAGGCGCGCTAACTTCCGTGTGGGGCACAACCCGCGTGAAGGTGGTGCCGAAGAAGCCATGTGCCGTCGCGCGAACCCTCCCACTGAGGCCGCAGGTGGAGCCCCTTGTGGGGCAGGACCCGTTGGAGGCATGTGCCACAATGGGCGGGGGGACGCCATGCGAAGTTGCCCATTGGTGCCACAGGTAGAGCTCGTTCTAGGGCGCGATTCGCGTGAACAGTGCGCCGACATGGGCGGAGGGAGGAGTTGCAAACCGTGTCTCTAGGGCTGTGGGTGGTGCTCCCTGTGGGCCACGCTCCGCGTGAGGGGTGTGCCGCAATAGGCGGGGGAGGGTGGCGCTGTGCAAACCTTGTCTCTGGGGCCGTCGATGGAGCTCCCTGTGGGGGCACGATCAGTGTGAGAGGTGCCCCTTAGTAGGCGGGGGGGCGGAATGCGAACATTGTCTCTGGGGCCGTAGGTGGAACTCCCTTCAGGGCACGATCCGTGTGAGAGGTGTGCCGACGTGAGTGAGGCGACGCTGTGCGAAGCTTCCCTTTTAAGCGCAATTACCTGCGGGGCAGCACTATCCGCGTGAGGGGTGTGCCGCGATGCAATGGGGGCGTAGGTGGAGCTCCCAGTGGGACACGATCCCTGTCATGGGTGTGCCGGGATTGACCGGGGGGCGTAGGTGGAGCTCCCTGAGGGCATGATCCGAGTGAAGGATGTGCCGAATTAGGCGGGGGGGCGCATGCCCACGATTGCGCAGGTGTTCACACGTGGTGATCGTTGTGGGATGGCGTGCGTACCCATCCGCTGATTGATGTGATGCTGGCTTTGCCTTTGCTAGAAGAACAGCGAGCGAAGCGCGCGCGCGTTTTTCTGGCTATCTCGAAGAAAAAAGGACGCAGGATGGAGGAGTGGGAGGGACAACTTGCAACTAATTAGTCAGGCGCGCCCGGGCGCAGGATGGTCAACGCCACACACGGTGGTGTATATTTTTTGTGGGGCAGGTACCAGATTGACCCAGACCTGGCAGACACGCTCGAGGACCACTACAAGGACTACCGCAAGGACGAGCGCCGCTGCTCGGAGAAGCAGCGCAACGACGTGGCCTCGGCGCTGAAGTCGCTGGTAGATGGCACCGGGAGGGGCAGAACGAGTCGAAGAGGACAACACACACACATAAGCATACACATCTTCGGAACTCGGCGCAGATCGGCGGTGGGCTCCCCCTGGGCGGCACTCTAAGAAATCCGAGCGGAGCTCCAGAAGTCAATGTGCATGCTGTTTTTACTACTCGACGGAGGGCTGCCCACCCACCTTCCGCCTGCATCCCTGAACGACGGGAGGCCTGTGGCAGTGCTCGGGGATTCGGGGGCCCCTGCCAGGCCCCGGTTGCCAACAGGAAACGACTCGGGATGAAGAGGCGATCCCCAGGGAGGGGCCTAGACCTCCAGCGAGGCACGCTGTGAAAAGAGCACGTCGGATGTCTGGACTCGCAGGGGTGAATGGGGGGCTGAGAGAGTGGATCACGTCCGGGGCGGAGAGGAGCCGACCGAGCGCATTCCACGATGCCGTGGAGCGGCCGCGGCGCCCGACGCACCCTCCAGGCCAGGCCCGCCGACGCTCCGAGATCCCGAGTCATCTCTACACCCTGGGCGATGCTTAAGAAAATCTAAATTTTCGGCCAGAGTCTCGATAATTCTTAATGTTTCAATGTAAATCCTAAGATTTTAATAGAATTTTTTTTTTTATTCAAGTTCTGAGACTATGAATTTCTTAACCCATGATTTCTTAAGCATTTCGCAGGGTGTACCCGATGTTGTCGTCCTCCCACCGTCGTCTTGGGAAGGAGATGGGGGGAGAAGAAGCGAGGGAAGCTGGCCGGAGCGGAGGAAGCTGCAGGCGCGCCTGCCTTTCGCTGGATCCCCAGGCTCGGTCCACGTCAACCACCGCACGAGCTCTGGCCTGCTGGTCGACGTCGCCGCGCTGCGCAAGCGCAGCTCGACCGACGGCTTCGTGCACGTGGACCTGGACTCCGGCTCAGACAGCCTCGCTCCGTCGATCGACAAGGATCGGGGCGATCGGTCAGGCCCTCGATGATCAAGCCGGGTGCTCCTCGCCTTGGGGATGCATCGGGCCAGCCAGGCCAGGATCGGGAGCATGTGCTGGATCAGCTCGGATCTAGGATCATGGCCAGGGGGGGCCTCCTAAGGATTCGAACGTCACCACGGTTCGCGCGCTGGACCAGGAGGACCCGGCGCAAGCCTTGGTGACGGAGGGCGCGGTCGCGTTGAGGCGGCGCCTCATCCAAAAGGCCAGGCTGCGCCTAAAAAAGCAAACACAACCGACAGTATTAACCAAACCATGCAAACATATATATATATATATATATATATATACAGGTATATATATATATATACACCTATACGACCACCCTTCGGGTGATAAGGAGGTTCGGGGGGGGGATGCAGCGTCTCACTCGATCGGCCTCACTATCCATCTCACTATCGGTCTCGCTCGATCGATCTCACTCTATCGATCTCACAATCAATCTCACTCGATATATCTCATTCGCTCGGTCTCACAATTGATCTGATTTTCGATCTCACAATCGATCTCACATTCGGTCTCACTATCGATCTCACTACCGATATCACAATCGATCTAACATTCAGCGTCATCATCATCATCACCAACACCATCATTTTCATCGTCATCGGGACACTGTCGTCATCATCATCATCATCACCAACACCATCATTTTCATCGTCATCGGGACACTGTCGTCATCATCATCATCGTCATCATCATCAACGCCATCATCACCAGGCCATCATCATCATCCCCATCATCATCTCATCATAGTCAGCAACATCATCATCATCGGCACACAGCCTTCGTCATCATCACCATCAGCATCATCATCACCATCGGGACACCATCATGGTAACCATCATTGTCATTGTCAACATCATCAACAACATCGGGACACCATCATCATCATCATCATCATCATCATCATCATCATTTAATCATCATCATCATAATCAACAGCATCATCAACATCATCGGGACACCATCAGCATCAGCAGCATCATCGTCACCAACATCATCATCAATATCATCATCGGTACACCATCACCATCACCATCATCATCACCACCGTCATAATCATCATCATCGGGATACCATAATCATCATCAGCAGCATCATCATTACCAACATCATCATCAAGAACAACGGGCAGAAACATCAACATCATCGTCATCTCATCATCATCAACAACATCATCAACATCACCAGCGGGACACAGCCATCGTCATCATCACCATCAGCATCATCATCATCATCGGGACACCATCATGGTCACCATCGTTGTCATCGTCAACAGCATCAACAACATCGGGACACCACCATCATCATCATCATCATCAGCTCATTATCATCATCGTCAACAGCATCATCAACATCATCGGGACACCATCATCATCAGCAGGATCATCACCACCAACATCATCATCAATATCATCATCGGTACACACTCACCATCACCATCATCATCACCACCGTCATAATCATCATCATCGGGATACCATAATCATCATCAGCAGCATCAGCATTACCAACATCATCATCAACAACGGGCAGAACATCAACAGCATCGTCATTTCATAATCATCATCAACATCATCATCATCACCAGGACACCATCATCGTCATCATCATCACCATCAACACAACCATCATGATCATCACAACATCATCATTATCGGGACACCGACGGGACACCAGCGGGACACCGAGGGCCCCCCGGCCGCCCGGAAGGGAGTCATTTGGTCCGGCCGCGCCTCAGCCACACGGGACACCAACGGGACACCGGCGGGACACCGCGGGCCCCCGCCCGCCCGGAAGGGAGACATTTGGTCCGGCCGCGCCTCAGCCACAGGAGACTTTCTCTCGCCCGCCCACGCAGCTTCGCCTCGCCCGCACGGCACGCACGAACACGAAACCGAAATCGATTTCCCGGTGGGGGGGCTCTCCGTTTCACTTCGATCTCACCCCCTCACCTCCGATATATATATATATACATATACACACACACACACACTATTTTCACACATTGTCTATACATATGCATTAAACGTCGCGAGAACAAGCCATACAGACGAAGGCCGGGTTGCGCCTCGTGACTGTGCGCGAGAGCGACTGGCGTGACCTGGACGACTCGAAGGACAAGAGGCGCTTCCTGAGGTCGCTGCTGTCGGCTCTGGGCGACGTCTTGGAGTGAGTGCGCCTGCGGCCGTTGGGGCGAAATACCTGCATCAGCGTAGCTTCTCTGAGCTCCGCGCGGATCTCTTGGATCGGCGCTGGGCCCCCCTGGCGGCGACTCCGGCGCCGCCTCTGGCGCGCTCCGCGTGCCAGGCAGGGGGCGCCAGCGCCGGTCCAAGAGGTCCGAGCGGGCCTCCGAAAGGTTATGCGTCTGCAGTCTGTTATTCCTATGCTGCGGTCGGGCGGGCAGCCCACGCCTGCAGGAAGCGAGGCTCACTTGATGAAGACGTTAATATAGCTGTGCATATGCAGACATGCTTCCCTTCCTCATCGTCCGTTCCCGCCCGCTCTTATCTGCTCCCCTTCCTCTTCTCCATCCACCCTCTGTCATCAGTTCTCGTGTTCTGCTCCATGTTCTAAAGTGTGACCCTTCCTGTTCCACGCAACCTGCATGAAGGATCCACCTTCGGCCCGCCCAGCCTCTGTGCCCAGGTTGCAGGTCAGAGGCCTCTTGGAAGCCTGCGAGTGCCTCATGGGAGGCCTCTCGGAAGCCGCTTGGAGGCGGTTTTGATGTGTCTTGGGGCCTCTCGGCTCGGAGGCCTCTTTGATTGTGGCCTCATCTTCGCCTCTTGGGTGCCTCCTTGGGCCTCTGGGGGCCTCTGGAGGCCTGCCGGCGGTCTCGGGGGGGTAGTTTTGCGGCGGAGGGCTCGAAATGTCAGTTCAAGTTCGCCCTCGTGAGGCCCGCTTAGGGTAAAGGGCCTCTTGGGCGGTCCTGAGGTCCTCTTCCGTCTTTCGTGCCTCTCGGGGGCATCTTGGGCCGTCTCGCTGCGATCTGGGAGGCATCTAGTGCCGTCGTGGAGCGTTGAACGCCCGAACAGGCGATAGTGCTAACATGTTCCGTGCGCCGAAGGAACATCAATTGTGCTTGCCTCTTGGGGCTCGCTTGGGAGGCCTCTTGGAGCCCTCTTGGGGCTTCTTGGGGGTCCCTTTGGCAGTCTCGATGCCATCTTGGGCCACGGGGAGAGCTCTGGGAGACGTCCTGGCCTGCTTCGAAGCCCTCTTGCCTTCGGACAGGTCGCGCGACAGTGCGCGAGAACCCCCCGCCCCCCCTAGAGCGCCCGATAGAGAGCCCCCCAGCTCGAGGCCGCGAGCCCCTCGTCTCAGCACGGAGGGCTCGAAGGGACGGTGGCGGAGCCTGGCTCCACGGCGTCTGAGCAGCCCAACCGCAGTCGCGGGCCATGCATGTCGCTCAATCGTGAGGCGGGCTCCTCTTTGGTCGCATGGGCGTGCGTGTACAAACCGCTTGAGGGTTCCAGGTCTCCACGACACCTGCCTTGCCACGTACGCTCGGAGCCATACATGCAAGGCTGGCCCAGCGATTGCGCAAGATGCTACCCGAAAGGTGGCGCAGGTTTCTCGGGACAACACATTTGGTCAATGACAACATCCTTGCATGATGGATCCGCCGAGTTGCTTTGCTTCGAGCATCCGTCCAATACTTCTTCACATCATTGTTATGGGCATCCGTATGTTGGCATGTGCTTCGTCGTGCAGTCGGTAAACCTGGCTCTGGAGTCAAATTGAGTCAGTGTCGATGTCCGCTAGCTGCTTGTGGTAGGCATGGTACCATCAGTCGCAGGTGAGACGTGTCATTTGCATAGTGCACATGATTGCCAGTGTGGACCCCCAAAAGTGAGTATATTTTTCGCTGCGGATGCATCAACTACGTTGTGCTCGCTATGTGGTGTGAGCTATTCGGTGTCAGCTATGTGGTGCGAGACATCCAGTGGCTACATGGTGCGATGTGTACGGTACAAGCTACATCTTGCAAGCCCTGCGGTGCAAACTATACGGCCGCCCACGCGGCGCCCTCTAGACACCCGTGGGCGGCCACTATTTGGTGCAAGCCAGCTGGTGCAAGCAATGCGGTGCAACATATGTCATGTCAGTTCTGTGGCGTACGATAGGCAGCTTCACTTGTGTAGGGTAAGTTGTTATGCGGTGCACGCTATCGTGTGAACTCAGTCACACAGACGACTTGGTGCATTTGAATTAGTAATATATATATATATATATATCCACAAATGGCCATCATTAATACATATGTTCAATCAAATTGAAAACGGTTTATGGGTGGTCCCTAACTCTAACGAATGAAGCCATACGATGCAATCTATGTGGTGCAAGCTCTGGTGCGACATATGCGGTGCAGGCTCTGTGGTGCAAGCTGTGCGGCCGCCCACGTGGCGCCCACGAGGCGCCCACGGGCGGCCACCGTGTGGCGCAAGCCAGGCGGTGCAGTCTATGTGGTGTCAGCCATGTGATGCCAAACTTCGTGGCGTAGGTCGGGCGGCACACTCCGTGTGGTGTACGTCCGGTAGAGGGAAAAAATAAGTGAACACCCCCCCCTCCCCCCAAACTCAAGGTTGGCACGCGCGGGGGAGACTGCGGTCGAGGTGCAACTCATCAGACCCACCGCCAATTTGAACACGGGGGGGAAGGGGAGGCGTTGACGGATGAATGTGGCACGTGTTCGCTGATCTGTTCCGAGGCCTGTGGTCGCTGTGCGGTGCACGCTGTGGTGTGCCAGCCGCGTGAGGCAAGCCGTGTTGTGCCAGCGTAGGCCAAGCATGTGCGACGCAGGCTGTGTGGTGCTAGCTCTGCGGCAGACACGCCGTGCGGCCTCCCACGGTGCGCCCACGAGGCGCCCACGGACGGCAAGGGGCGGCCACGTGGCCAGCCCGGGCGCACTGGGGCGCTCGTAAGGCGACCCCTGGGGACGGCAACGGGCCGCAGCGTGGCCACTGCGCGACATCTCCGCCCGGCGGACGGGGCGCCCCCGAGGCACCCATGGGGGGGGCAACGCCAGGCTCGAGTAGGCCGGCACTGGTGCTTGCCGAAGTTATTTTTGACGAGCGCGTCCTGGAGTGCGACGGTCCGGTGTTCGTGGGATGTGTGCCGCGAGAGTCCGCGGCAAATTTCAGAGTGGGTCTCGTCATTTTCATGATGGCCCCGTCCAGTCAGGAGGGGAAAAAACACACAGACACAATCAATCATAGATGTCCAAGAAAATGTATGGGAAGATATGGGAAGTGGGGGGAATGTTTTTGTTTGTGCGTATTCATTTGTGTGTTCTGGGGCCCCCTTAGTCAGGCCGGCCCGAGTCTCCCGTGCCCGAGTCTCACGTCTCCCCGACCACAAGGGGTGCAACGGGCGGCGGCACGTCCAGTCCTCGACGGGGCCATTCGGGGCACGGGGCTCCTACGAGGCGCCCGCGGGCGGCATTCGGGGCGAAGCGTCGAGTGGCCCATCCAATGCTCCGGGTGATCGAAGCAAGAGCGCGTGAGTGCAAACACCGTTTGGGGGGACGTGCCCCTCTGTGTGCGTTGTTCACTGTGGTGGTGTTGTCCACGCTCCCGGACCGACGGCGCGCGATGAGGTTCTCAGCATGTCAACGGGGCCATTCTACAATATGCAGGCGTCTTCTGCAGGTGGGCGATCCCTTCCATACTAAGACGTTTGTCTCGGATGTCGTGCCTAGTCCAGCATGGCCCGTGTGGCAAAGGTTTGGTACAGGTGGTGGTGACGACAGTGGTGAGTGGTAGTCGCTACGCCATCAGGCAGCGGGATATCAGAGCGTCATGCATGGTGGCATTGAGCTTCGATGCTTAGTATTTGTCAGTGTGTTCAGCACCTTTACCGTTGATGGCACACGCATTCCGTTCAGCATTGCTTTGGGATGTACTGTCTGGCGCCGTGCAGCGGGCAATGCTTGGCCCAAGAGGCATCAATCAGACACTTCCCGCCGATCTCGTCCTCGTCTCCCCGTCTCCGCTTAGGGTCCTCACCTGGATCTTGCCCCCCCTCCTGTCGACTCCCCCCCTGCTCTTCCCTCTTCTCGCCCCCCTTTATTCTCATCCTCACGTCCGCCATGCCTCGGTACTCGCCCACAAAGAGCTACTGTATAATTCCACATGCTGCAGAAAAAGGCATCTCTTTCGAGGACCGCAGGAGTGACCATCTCTTCCTCGGCGGAGTGCGGCGGAAGGTCGGCCGAATCCACCGCAGGCAAAACGAGGGCGGCTGCGCCAGCGGAGGGCCAGCGGAAGCCAGCAGAAGTAACGCGCGCGCCCCCGCGACGAGAGGTTCGCACTGTTGGATTCGGGTGGGGCCAGTCGTGCGCCTGCCCAGCGGCCTGCCAGCAGAGCCCCGCGCGAAAGTCGGGCCGTCAAAGGGCGCTGCGCGCCTCCACTTCGCGGTGTCACCACGGCAGAGGGAAACAGTTACTGAACACTCCCCCCTCCCCCCCAAACCCAATGCTGGCACGCGCGGGGGAGACTGCGGTCGAAGTGCATCTCGTCAGACCCACCGCCAGCTTTGAACGGGAGGGGGGAGGCGTTGACAGGTGAGCGTGGCATGTGTGTTGCGAATTTGTTCCGAGGCCTGTATGACTCCCCTGCACCCCCTCAGGGGCAGCGATGTGGGGGGAGAGATGGGGTCCAGGGGTTCACGTCGGCCCTCAGTCGCCCATTCGTCGCCTCCTCCTCCTCGGCTCGACTCGGCTCGGCGATATCAAGGCCTGTACATAAGTGGCCTATTCTCGGATTGGGAAAAGGGGGGGCAAGGAAAAAGGACGAGGAGGGCTCACTTCGTAGCCAATCCGTACGTGCAATGCTGTCGTGACATCAGGGGTCCCATCCAACAAAGCAACACGGACCAAGGCGAGCACAGCAGTCAGTCCCAGGACAAGAACGGATCAAGAGGCCGCCAGAAGTTGTCCACCCCAACTCCCTCGGCAGTCTTCTCCCCGCATATCTCATGAGCACAAATCTGCCATGAACTCGCAAACGCGGCGGCCACTCTAGAATAAAAGGAGGGGGGAGGCAATAGCTCATGCATTCCTTCCTCCCCTCACAGCTGCAGTGCATGTGATCACCCCTGCACCTCCCACTTCCATCCAGGGCACCGATCTCCTGAGTTTAACCCTCAAGGTGGACAGGGAGAAGAGAGAAGGGGTCA